ATAGAGGCATCTTCATCTTTATAGCATCCCTTTCAACAGGTTGTCTAGCTTCAACTTTACTTAAGGCTAGTAAAAAAGAACTCACTACCTCAAGGAACCTCTTTTTGTTTTTAGGAGACTTAGTAATTAGAAGACTTTTGCTAATGTTCCTTCTAAATGTGCCCATAGGTGCTTATCCAGACCTATGTGTCTTTTGAAGAAAACCAAAGTGAGCACATCCTCCATGCAGGTTGCATGGAGTTTTTCAGCTTTAGGAAGTTTTTCAGCTTTAGAAAGACAGCTGTGATAGTCCATTCCACCATCTTTGTCTCTTCTCTGGCTCCTGCAGGTGGGAAGGAATGATGCATTGGGATTTACTGTAAATGTGAATCTAGTTGTATTTAATCTACTTTATACATACAGACTCAACGATTAAAAAAAAACTTTATAAGTCATAGAGAATTAGAATGCATTTGCAACCGAACGGGAAATGCTTCTTAAAAGAGACATGTATAGGGCGTCTGGGTGGCTTAGTCGGTTAAGCGTCCGACTTTCGCCTTGGGTCATGATCTCACAGTTCGTGGGTTCGAGCCCCGCGTCGGGCTCTGTGCTGACTGCCAGCTCAGAGCCTGGAGCCTGTTTCAGTCTGTGACTCCCTCTCTCTCTGACCCTCCCCTGCTCACACTGTCTCTCTCTCTCTCTCCTAGAAATAAATAAAACATTTTACAAAATAAAAAAATAAAAATAAATAAAAGAGACATGTATAATCTATTCTTTTTCAGCAGGTATACGTGGGCGGCAGGTCATTTTTAGTGCAATTTTTTTGTTTTTCTAATAATGTGTGTGTGTGTTTGTCCACGTGTAATTTTTAAATGAAATAAAACAACATGTTGGAGCTGACATTTTGACGAAATGAGGGCAGATAACAAGTTTTGTGGGGTATATAATTCTCTCTTGAATGGCCCGCCAGGTTTTGAGCTTCTTGAAGGCCAGGGCCACGTTTTATTCTCCTTAGTGTCATCAGTGCCTAGTATAATACCATACACAAAGTTGGCCTCAATAAATGCTTATTGAATTGAGTTTACCTGAGTTTCTAGAAGTAGAGAGATCACCAAAGGTAGATACAGGGCAGGAAAAGGGGACTGAACTTATTTCAAGGAAGATCTTTTAGCTGGACTCTTCTGATCTCGTCCTCCTATTTAACAGAAATACCTTCAAGGAGATGAAACTATCCTGATAAACCCTTTGGCAAATATGTCTAAGACAGCCTAAGACAGACCTTTAAAAGCTCTGCCTTTTGAACTATCATTATTCTGATAGCCCAAAAGCAATGACATCTTACATTTCATAACTGGCATTCTTTCCATTCGAGGGAATGTGCATTTTTATTTATTTTTTGAAAACATTTTTAATGTTTTTCTGAGGTGGGGGAGGGGCAGAGAGAGCGAGGGAGACAGAATCGGAACCAGGCTGGCACTGTTAGTGCAAAGCCCGACAAGGGACTCAAACTCAGGAACCGTGAGATCCTGACCTGAGCCAAAGTCATCCCTCTCAACCGACTGAGCCACTCAGGCACCACGAATGTACATTTTTAATATGGCCTTTATGGAAGGTGCTTTTTTACTCAAGGAATTGTAATGACGTGCAGTGATGTCTTGAGAAGTTTGGTGTCAAGTGGTGCCTGAAACTGGGAGTCAGAAAAACCCAAGTTTGTGACTTGGCAGAAAGTTGGAGAGAGCCCCCAGGAGAAAAGCTGGAGTGGGGGGGGGGGGTAGCTGCTTGGGAGTCGCAGCTAAGGTGACATAGATTTGCCGGAACTTCCAAAAGCACTCTGACCCATTGACCTACTTGGTGCAGAGCTGGGAGCGCTGTAGATTACAGCACATGTGGTCCTGGCAGAGTCCTCTACGTGCAGAGCACCTTGTGTCTATGTGCCTTATTTGAGCACTGCTTGTACTTTAACCAGACAATTGGCTAACAGCAGAACTTACTGCTGTTACCAGCCCAATCACACGGAAACATGGCTATTTTCTCAGAGTCAAACAGGCACTAATCTTGGGAGTTGGCCCAACTCATTCCCCTAGGAAGGGGATGGGAGACTTTGTCTCAGCTGACAACTGGAGTCCATCCACAAGGGCAAAGGACATTGTCCTCAGGTAAGGCAGTGTCCGAGATATCCACCCACCAACCAACCTGGATTTCAGGGACAGGCTCTTGGTCCTCAAGGAAAGAAGCAGCAAATGTAAGGCAAACCTCCAGTACCAAGAGAAGGACAGATAATTGGCCTAGAATAGTACTGGGTGATGCCTTAATATGTCTTATGAGTAAGTATGTCTTAATATAAGTATGAATAACATTCCTTGTCATCTTCAATAGATTCCTACATAGGACAGTACATCATGTCATTCTTGGCATGGAATGCTCAGAAGGATACCAGGAAAACAACTTTTGCAACAGGAACAAAGGCAGAAGCCATCTTCATAAATTGGGAGAAAGGGGGATTAAGTAGGAATTGTGTCCCAGGACCATGTGTGGGGGCTTGAGTGGACTGCCCTTGGGGTGACTGGGAATCTCAGAGTCAGTACTAACCATATCCACGTCAGAATACAATATGGAGGTGCCTGGATGGCTCAGTCAGTTAAGCGTCCTACTCTTGATAGTGGCTCAGGTTGTGATCTGGTGGTTAATGAGATCAATCCTGGCAAAAGGCTCTGCACTGAGGGTGGAGCCTGCTTGGGATTCTCTCACTCTCTCTCTCTGCCCTCCTCCCCTCACACCCACTCTCTCTCTCTCTCTCTAAAAAAAAAAATAATAATAACAATAAGAGTCTGTGTCCTTATTCACAATGACCCCTGCGAATCTTCAAAATGCAGGGGGGGACATAGGCTTCCTAGGTCATGTCTCTCCTATCAGCTTCATTGTTCAGAATGACTGGTATCTACTTAACATATTGAAGTAGTATTAACTATGCTTGAAGAAGAGAAAGTTTTGCACAAGGTATTCCTTCCAGATTTGGCAAAACACTATGCTGCATAATACAGAGATGGCAAATTGCTTATAATCTAATTGGAAAGTTAAATACTTATGAGTTTTTTATAGAAGTCAAAGACTGCAACAGAAGAATTATCACAACATAGCGTCTGGTTAACAGACAAACCAGTTGTGTTAGCTGTGGTTTATGACAATTCAGAGAGAGAGTAACCACTTCAGGTTAAGAAGATGAAAGAAACTTACTAAGGAAGTGAGACTTCCCATTTATTAAGTAACCTGTTACTCATCGGTCACTTTTTTTATTATTTTTTTCATGTTTATTTATTTTTGAGAAAGACAGTATACAAGCAGGAGAGGGACAGAGAGAGACGGAGACATAGAATCTGAAGCAGGCTCTAGATTCTGAGCTGTCAGCACAGAGCCTGATGCTGGGCTCCAAGCAACAGACCTCGAGATTGAGTTGAAATCCGACGTTTAACTGACTGAGCTATCCAGGTGCCCCTTACTCGTCAGGTATTTTCACAGACAGATTCTGATTCCTCAGAACAACCTTATGAAATACGTATATTAGTATCCATAATTTACAAAGGAAGAAACTGAGGCTCAGAAGGTTTAAGCAACTTCTCCTTGGTCACTCAGCCAGGGAACAGAAGACAGGGCTTGAACCCATGTGTCTGAAAAGGACAGAAAGTATACCCCATCTGTGTCTCCCCTACTCTCAATACTCGATGACACTACCGCCTCCCTTCTGAGACCAGATGTGTGGGTTTCCACACACCAAGAAATTCTGGGATACTAGCTGGATGCTCCACAACTTTACTCAATTCTGTCAGTATCATCCTGGGAATAGTGTCAGATCCCACAGGTTAAGGACTCTCAATTGACAAAAATAAAGCAACTTAATAACAAGTTTGATGTCCTTTATGCATTGGAAAACAATGCATGGCTGGGGGAATCCAGTGCCTCACACGCAGTGGGGCATCCTTCCGAAGGGCTGTTCATGAAAGAGTGAGTTTTATAAAATGTGAGAAGAGGCAATATGGAAATAGGGCATGATTGGCTCAGAGGTTGGGGATTTCCTTATAAGCCTGGCAGGTCAATCAGAATACGGAAAAGGTATTTTTCAGTTGATTGACTGAGTTTGCATATCTGACCTTATTTAGAACAAGGAAATAATTACAGATTCTTGGCAGTTGGGGATTGGCTGGCTAGATATACTGAGATTCTGGTCAAGTGAGCATTTACAGGGATGCGAAAATTATCTACGTTTTAGTTTGCTGATGTGGAACCCCAGGCCGGAGCAGCTCCATCTTGGGCCTAGAAATGTATTTCAACCGGACTTGGTCCCACATGACTCCCCAACACCCCCACTTCACTTGCCAATCACAGGTCCGGGTTGCCACCTTTGCTTCTGACTGACCAAGTATAAACTGGAAGTTCCCACAAACCCTCCTCAGTTTTGATTAGTTTGCCAGAGCAGCTCACAGAACTCAGGGAAACAATGTATTTACTAGATTCATGGTTTATTTCAAAAAGATATAACTCAGGAACAGCCAGATGGAAGAGACTTATAGGGCAGTGTATATGGGGGAGGGGGGGAGGTGGAGCTTCCATGCCTTCTCTGAACACACCCCTACCCTCAAACCTCCACCCACAAGCTCTCCAAACCCTGTTCTTTTAAACTTTGATGGAGACTTCATGACATAGGCATGACTGATTCAACCTTCAGTCCCTCTTCCCCTTCTGGAGGTTGGAGGGTGAGACTGAAAGTGCCATCCTGTGATCACTGTGGGTTTCCCTGGCAACCAGCTCCCATCCTTAGAGGAGCCTGTCTGTGTTTATGTCACCTCGGTAAGATAAACTCTAATGCTGTAACAAAAGTCGCTGCCAGGGCTCCTATCACTCAGGAAATGCCAAGAGATTTAGGAGGTCTGTGAAACAGAAACAAGGATGAAGACAAAATCTATATTTCTCATTATAAATCATAATATCGTGGTATCTTACTTCACCATTTCTATTCTTTCCATCAGGAGGGGTGCAAACTCTAATCAGAGGCCTCCAGTCAGGTTGAGCAGTGTGCACAAGAGCAAGGAGATCGGATATTGGAAGGTGTGTTCGGAGTTCTGCAAGCAGTGGATTGGACAAGAGCGGGGATGTCAGGAAAGTAGGAGGGTGGCATCCCACCAAAGAAGGTAAGTAGGAGCACTTAGAAGGCCTTTAGGAAGCAAGGACTTTGTAAAAAGTTATTTTTAAATAGCAGTCCGAAGAGCACAGGGGACCTTCACATTTGGGCCTGGCCCTCCGTGCCTGCAGCGCAAGGTGGGGCATGGAGCTCAGGGTCCTGGGTTATCCACTCTGGTTGCAAGTCCAGGGTAAGGTACCTGCTATGGAAAGAGAAAACAGTCTAAAACTAGAAGGAACTGGGGCACCTCGGCTGCTCAGCCAGTTAAGCATCCTGCTTCAGTTCAGGTCAGGATCTCATGGTTCCAGGGTTTGAGCCTTGCATTGAGCTCTGTGCTGACAGCTCAGAGCCTGCAGCCTGGTTTGGATTCTGTGTGTGTCTCTCTCTCTGCCCCTCCCCCGCTCATGCTTTCTCTCTCTCTCTCTCCCTCTCTCCCAAAAATAAATTAACATCAAAAAACATTTAAAAACATAAAACCGGAAGGACCAGATAAACTGCACACTAGTGTCATGGAGTGCAAAGCAAAAGGGCTTTGGAGTCCATTGAGTTTAAATCTTAAATCTCCCACTCATTGTGTACATGACCTTCACCGGTCACTTAACATCTCTTACATTCAGTTTCCTCATTTGTACCTACTTTTCCATACACTTTGTAGTTGACTTCCCCAAATTCCTTTTACCTCAGCTGATCCATCTAAGATAATCACAAGAATCTCATTCTCTTTGCTAATAATTGAAACTGGGATGGCTAAGGAGATATAAAAGACTGCGGACTGAATGGTGTCCCCACAAAATTCATACATTGAAGCCTGAACTCACAATGATTCAAAAACAAAAAAGTAGTGCCCACTACCACTAGCACCCATTCCATATAACCAGGGAATTTAGCTTCAGAACACAGACATAAAATTGAACAGAGTTGCAGGGAAATGGAAACAGAACCCTGATCAAACCTTGCCTGAAGCCAATGTTACATTTGCACATTTTTTTAAAAAATATGAACCAGTATAATTTCTTACTGTTTCAGCAAGCTTGGGCCAGATTCTGTTAGACTACAGCAACCTAGGTTTACTGTGAGATTAAAATCAAATAATGGGGAAGTGCATGGCACATATAAATAATAGTTATTATTATTTTAGGCAGGTGACTAATCTGTAAGTCACCCCATGGAGTGTCACAACTGGGAGATCTATATGGATATGGAGAAGTTTCCTCTCAGTGAGTGTAGCATTATTTATAACAGCAGAAATGTTATGGTGAACACAACCATTCTGGAAAAAGGAAGAAGACCGGAATTAGAGGTAGCTAAGTGACCTGGCATTTGCCCCTGGCAAACTGGATTTAGATTCTGGTTGACAGTGAAGAAGCCAGCAGAAGAACAAAACAGAACTAACATAAATGGTGAGACCTGCAGTCTCCTTCCTAATCTCCATTTTTCGGCTAGTTTTCCTAAGCTTTCTAGCAAATCAAACAGTCAGATCTGCTTTAGAAATTTCCTGAAGTCCTGGGGCACCTGGCTGGCTCAGTCGGTTGGGCATCCGACTTCGGCTCAAGTCATGATCTCATGGTTTGTGGGTTTGAGACCCACATCGGGCTCTGTGCTGACAGCTAGCTTGGAGCCTGGAGTCTGTTTCGGATTCTGTGTCTCCCTCTCTCTCTGACCCTCCCCTGCTCACACTGTTTCTCTCTCTCTAGAAATAAATAAAACATTAAAAAATTACTTTTAACTAAAAATTTCCTGAGGTCCTTTCTTTGCTGTCACTAGAGTTCCCCTTATGAGCTTCTCCAGAATGTGCTCTTCTATAAACTCTACTTCTCCTGCCTGTTTCAATGTTTATACGACTCAAACAGGTAAAAAATGGTCAAATTAAAGGAGCTCATCGAGTTCTTATTCCATTGTACTTTTCTTTAGATTCAAATGCCTTCATTATATATTTAAAGCAAAGCAATAAAACATCTGAAAATTCTTTCAAAACCACACTGTTTACTTGATGGTAAGCAGCGTTTACACAAAACCAAAGTAGCCAGGAAGATAGTAGCTCTGGGCCACTGGACAGCTCTTCCTTGAATTGTTGTAGCTGGTAATGAAGCTGGTATATACATGGTATGATTGTTAGTGTTTTCTATTTTTATCAGTTGCTCCTCTAAATTCTGAAAACGATTCAGTCCTTGAACTACTTATGAAATCATTTCCTCATTTTAAGAAGCATGTAAAACAGATTAAATTCCCTGTTATGATCCTAAAGCAAAAATTAAGGAAATGTACAGGTTTGACTGCAAGGATGGTCTTTGCAGCATTATTTATAACAGCAGAAAGGAAACTAACCAAACGTCCAATACTAGGGGATTAGTTCAATCAATTACAGTACATGGATAAATGCCATTAAAATATGCAGTAAAACTATATAACTTCTCATGTGTCCATTAACGACAATATGAGCAAATGAAGATTTTTATATATTTTTATATTCTATATTAATATAGGATCAGTGATAGTAACTAACAGAGATGGGGGTGCCTATTAAAAATCCTAGGTAGGAGGGGCGCCTGGGTGGCTCAGTCGGCTAAGCATCCAACTTCGGCTCAGGTCATGATCACACGGTTCGTGGGTTCGAGCCCCGCGTCAGGCTCTGTGTTGACAACTAGCTCAGAGCCTGGAGCTGCTTCTGATTCTGTGTCTCCTTCTCTCTCTACCCTCTCCTGCTCATGCTGCCTCTCTCTCTCTCTCTCTCTCAGAAAAATAATAAAACATTAAAAAAAAAATCCTAGGTAGGGGCACCTGGGTGTCTCAGCCGGTTAATTGTCCGACTTCAGCTTAGGTCACCATCTCGTGGTTTGTGGCTTTGAGCCCCACATTGGGCTCTGTGCTTTCAGTGCAGAGCCTGCTTTGGATTCTATGTCCCCTCCCCGGCTGACACTCTCTTTCTCTCTCAAAAATGAATAAACTAAAAAATTAAACAACGAAAAAAGCATAGGTAAAGGGGCACCTGGGTGGCTCTGTTGGTTGAGTGTCCAACTAATTTATTTATTTTTATTTTTTTAATTTTTAACATTTACTCATTTTTTTGAGATACATAGAGAGAGTGAGCAGAGGAGGGGCAGACACACACACACACTCAGAATCTGAAGCAGGCTCCAGGCTCTGAGCTGTCAGCACAGATCCCGACACAGGGCTCAAACTCACAAACTGTGAGATCATGACCTGAGCTGAAGTCAGTCCCTTAACAGACTGAGCCACCCAGGTGCCCCTCCAATTTTTTATTTTGGCTCAGGTCATGTTCTCACGGCTCATGAGTTTGAATCCCACATTGGGCTCTCTACTTACAGTGCGAAGCCTGCTTGAAATTCTCTCTCTCTCTCTCTCTCTCTCTCTCTCTCTCTCTGCCCCTCCCCTACTCATGCTCTCTCTCTCTCTCTCAAAATAAATAAATAAACTTAAAAAAAATAGGTAAGAATACTAGGCAAACAACCCTGTGTTAGGCTGAAAATTGTGGCAGGCCTACAAAGGTACAATGCAGCAACCAGCAAGGGGTGGTGCAATGTGATGGAGAAAGTTACTGTAAAGCAGTGATAGTGCCCACTGGGATAGACTCTGTTGTAAGCATATTTGGAAAACATCCTGATAACTCCGAGAAGTACTGATGCTCATGGAGGAAGGCTGTGGAAGACTCCTGCATCACTGAGAATCAGTACAATTGTTAGTGTGTTTCCATGTGTCCCATAAACAGATAAGGCTTGGAAAACTTGACATTTTTTCACTTTTTCCACAAGGAACAGTTTTCACTGCACAACATAGCTGACATATTTATACACCTTCAAAAGCAAATTGTTTTCAAACACTTTCAAATAATTTAGAAGACTTCATTTGCTTATAAAGTATGTAGACATTATTATTAATGATTCAATGTCTCAAAAATGCACTATATTCCTGCATTTTGTGCTAAGTATATAGATGAGAGAAGCAAGCTCATTTTAAAAGTAACAGCACAGGCGCCTGGATGGCTCACTCAGTTGAGCATCAAACTCTTAATTTCAGCTCAGGTCATGATCCCAATATTATGGGATCCAGCCCCATGTCAGGCTCAACACTGAGCATGGAGTCTGCTTAAGATTCTCTCTCCCTCCCTCTGCCCGTCCTCCCCATTTGTGCATGCTCTCTCTCTCTAAAATATAAATAAATAAATAAATAAATAAATAAATAAATAAATAAACAAACCAGTAAATGTAGAGTACATGTGAGTGACTAGTTACAAGGAATTTCCACTAGCCATTTACCAAACATTCAACATGCCCTTACCATGTTTAGGGTCTTCTGCTAGATGTTAGGTCTATAAGGTTGAATGAGATTGGATCCCTAACTGGGAGGCAGACAAGGCAATCAATAATTGCATTTTAGTCAACGCTTGACATTAATGATTTCAAAATGAGAATTTATTTTTTTATTTGTTTAGAATTTCTTTTTTTAAATAAGAAAATCTTTAAAGGTCTTTTTATTTTTTATTTTATCTTGAAAAGTTATTTATTTAAGTTCAAATTAGTTAACATACAGTGTACTTTGGTGTCACAAATAGAACCCAGTGATCCATCACTTACATATAACACTTGTTGGCTCATCCCAACAAGTGCCCTCTTTAATGCCCATCACCCATTTAGCTCTTCCTCCCCCACTTCCCTTCCAGCACCCCTCAGTTTGTTCTCTGTATTTAAGAGTCCCTTGTGGTTTGTTTCCCTATATGTTTTTATCTTATTTTCCCTTCCTTTCCCTTATGTTCGTCTGTTGTGTTTCTTCACTTCCACATATGAGTGAAATCATATATTTGTCTTTCTCTGACTGACTTATTTTGCTTAGCATGATACCCTCTAGTTCCATCCACATCATTGTAAATGGCAAGATTTCATCCTTTTTGATTGCCGAGTAATACTCCATTGTGTGTGTGTGTGTGTGTGTGTGTGTGTATGTATATATATATACACACACATATATATATGTATGTATGTATACCACATCTTC